CAGCCGCTACTTTTTTCTTTCCACGTCCAGACATTCTGACAGGCAAGAAGATAGAGGACTGGAGGTCTTCAAAGTACTTGGGCACTAATGGATAGCAAGAGGAGGTAACAGCAAGGTCAGTTCTGCTGCTCCACATCAAGGAGAAAGCTCATTCTTTTCTTGAGGAAAGAGCTTACAACACACCACAGGTCATCAAGAGAAGAGCTAAAATTTTAACTATTATTGCCCTTTTACAGACTGCCTTTTAGAAGAAGGATCTCATTGCAAAATCTGTCAAGGGTTACTGAATTTAGATACAAAGGGCTAAAAAGAAGAGAGGCTTTCCCTTGCTACTTGGAATGTATTTGGGACTAAGGTACAGCGGGTCTTCTTCAACCAGATTTTTCTTAAACACCACAACTGTTACCTCAAAGCTAACTTGAGACCTATCTCTTCTTTGAAGAGGAATCTGCATTACAATTTCTACTGTCAAGTTATAACTTTCCTCCATTTGAAGTCTAAAACCGGAAAAATTCTTGCAGCCCACAGCTTGTTTATATATATGTATGTATTGTATTTATACCCAGAATACTCCAGGACATTCTCACACAGCATAAATTAATTCCCCAAGTGGTATTCTCTGGCTTCTATGAGAATACTATTGGAGATCCTCTGCACTAGGAAAGGGATTAATTGATCTGGACAGCACAATGCAGTCCAGATCAATACAAAGAATACAAATTACCATCTACTTCCTCATGATGAAGAGAATTTAGCCCAGCTAGAATACTCTTACAATTGGAGTAGCAAAACTATTAATTTAAATAATGTTTCTAGTCTATAAGTAAATAGGACAGTTAACTTCCAGCACAGCTATTTTCAACATACAAGAACACCCATCACTACATTAGTGTGTAGGGTTTTTACAGAGAGGTTTAACTATTCAAAAAAAATTAGAATAAGCTTTGAGAAGAAGATGAAAAAAAGTAAAAACTTAAAAATCCCAGTCTCTAATAAAATCCAAATGAACCAAGCCCTCATACCTCTTTATCCCTATTACCAAACAATATTATTTCTGAATTACTCACAGTACAGTCATAGTGCAGAATAGATGCACAGTAACTTAATAACTTAAAAAATAACATGAAGCCCACAGCCCCAAATCTTCCACAATATGTTATAAATGAAAAATACACCACAGTACCTTCAAAAAATTCTTATTTTATCCTGGTCTACACCTTACTGCAACCTGCTATCAACCACAGGAAAACTATGTAACACTGCTATTTCTACCCCAGGTCCAGAGCCTTTTTATTAGCAACTTTGTCTCCTCATCAGTGGGTCACCTGGGTAATTAATGAGTAATTTACACACACAGTGTTTCCTTCACCTTCATCTAATTCCTGATTTGGGGCAA